TGATGATGACGCTGACGATGATGATGGATATGATGACTACGACGACGGGGCAAGAACGCCAATGTTCATGGTGATTCTTGAAACCACGACTGGAAAAAACGTGAACATGATTGTTTGGTTTGTCGGCACCACTACTTGGGGAATTTCGGGGATGCGTCTCTGAAATACTGCAACAGTTAATCCTCTTTAACTTTACCGTCGGCTTCGCGGACCATGGCTGTGGTGGTGGTTTCGCTAATTACTGCCGCTGCTGCTGCCCTCAAGGTTGTGAGTGATGCCGTTGCCGGCTGCTGTTTCCCGTCGACTCCCGCCGCGCTTTGAAGAGACGTCCCTGAAGCTATGTACTTGGAGGTTCATGGGTAGNNTCCCCTAATATGGGTTATAAGTTATAATTATAGTTAGCCCACATATAACCCTACTTATAACTACCCATGAACCTCCAAGTACACTCCAGTCTCCCGCTATCGAAGCACAGAGATCTCCCGAGTTCAACTTCAGGTTGAGCTTGCCGAGGGTGAAGAGCTCCGCCTTGCCCTCCTCTGTCTGGTGCTTAGTAGGGAATGGGGGAATGGGTTATAGGGACTACTATAAGGGACCTTAAGGGACTGTCATAGGGATCCATTCCCCCATTCCCTACTAATCACCAGACAGTCCTCTGAGCTACAGCTCAGGTCATCAGGTCTGTGGGCAAGAAAGCAGCTGTATGAAACTCACAGGCACAGAACCAACATGAGAGTAATACTGGGGGGGAGGCTATAGTTTGACTGGGGCGTTGGGGTATATATGATAGAAGTACAATCAGGAACCCTATAAAGTCTATATGAGGAATAGTACTAAGCTGTCAGACCCCTTTTAGTACTCGGGCCCGTGTTGCAGTTACAGGCGAAAAGCTGAACATGCATGCATGGTCGGTCCTGAAACCTCCCGCGCTCAAAGCTGGCCTGCAGCAATCAGGAATGCGCATTCCAAAAATCCTAGACGAAGGAGACTTTTTGGCCTACCCTGACCCCTAAACCCGGGAGATTTGGCCAAGGACCTCCGCAAAGAGCTATCAAACAGCTCTAAAGATCACCCCGAACTGAAGGAGCTGCACATTCTGGCTGTCTCCCATTATTGGGCTTTGGGGTTTAAGCGTTTCGTGCCTAGTTTGGGGTTTCGGGTTGTTTACGGGAGTAGCCCCTAGGGCCAAGACCCTATAAAGCCACCCAAAAATATCTCCCCCCCCCAGCTCCGCGTGCTAAAAAAGGGGGTGGGGGGTGAATCTGCGACTTTTAGGCCTGATCTAAGGTGATCTGACCGGCGTCTGCCACCGGCTCCTCCGCAGGAGCTGTGACGGGTCGCTTTAAGGGCTGCTGCGAGGGCTCCAAAAGCGGTTTTACAAAGGATGTAGGGGTTTGAGGTGTGGACTTTCGCAACTCGGAACTCGAGGGTTAGGGATGTAGGCTTTAAGGCTTTGAGGGTGCAATGCTTCGAGGGCTGTGCTTCCCGTGGCTCGGCGAATCGGGTGAGGGTAGTTTGGGGGATTGGGGTTCTTGCAGACCCCAAACCCCAAACGCCCTAAACCCTCGAAGAGGATCCACCGCCATCGCAGCCAACGCGCCTCTGACCCGAAAACGCACCCACCACCTGAGAGCCAGAGCAACAGCCACCGAGAAGGCAAGCCATGCCTCCCATCATGCCTAGGCCGTATTACTACTGTTATTTTCATTATCAATATGGTTATTTGTTGTTTATTACTATTGAAATTATTACTATTCTCATTATAACAGAGCTATTACTGTACTGGATTCCTAGCAGTCTTATATGATCTCTCAAGCACACCGTCAGAGTCCCTAGCATCCTACAAGGCGCTTTTGGGCTCCTCTTCCTTCTTCCTGAGGATGAGATCCTGCCGGCCCAGGAAGGACTGGAGCCGATGGTACCTTTCTTCAAGAGTGCATTAGTACGCTGTCTGGTGCTTAGTAGGGAATGGGGGAATGGATCCCTATAATAGTCCCTTAAGGTCCCTTAGAGTAGTCCCTATAACCCATTCCCCTCATTCCCTACCAAGCACCAGACAGTACGGGTTGTCTTTGGGTGTCACAAGGTGGTTTACGCTTGATGGGTTTAGACTGGCTCCAACCTGCTTCTAGGGCTGTGGGATATCGGGAGTTTAGGGTGTTTCAGGGTGTTGGTGCCTCCGAGGGGCTGAAGTCAAAAGATTTCTACGTCGGGGCCTTGGACTGTCAAGGATGAAGGATGTGATCCTGATCGCTTGGGGCAGCTTCTGGCTCAAGCATCTGCTTTATAATGCTAAGATAGGGGCCTTAATAGTTAG